CATAGATTTTGGTAGATTTTCAACATCTGGTATCAAGAACTCAGGTTAAGCGATCAAGGGAAGAAGAAGAAAATCAATGATAATGAATTATGCGAATGGAAGTTTTTCATCAAATCTTTCAATCTGGAGAAGAACCCGATAGCACACGGTCGAAACAAACACATCGAAATGAGGTTCCACTATTTTCATGACGAAGGGAGTGCAGGTCGAAGTATTTCGAAGATTAAGTGCTATGATAAATGTAAATAGTTTAGACACAATGAATTAGGTGGTGTGTTGAATTGTAATTCATAGTGTCGAAAAGGTGTATGTCGAATTAGATTTAGTTAGATTTGATTTAGTTACACACCTATTTGATTAGATTTGATTTAGTTCTAAAATAAGTATTTTGGGCTTTTATAGTTTTGAACTTTGACTTAGAGAGCAAGCTAACATAAATCTATTAATAGATGGAGTAATCCATATTTTTGTAATCAAATTGTATTCACAGGATTTGCAGTTGCAAGTGAATAAAGAAATTTTCCACCGTTTGTGGACAGGAAAAAACTCTACAGAAAATCATTATCTTCTCTTTCTTTCATATTTTTTTCATCGTTATTGTGTGGTGATAACAATCTTGTTCATTAAAATTGATAGAAATTCATCATAGATTTTAGTCGATTTCCAACAAACTTTTCATAAAAGCTAAATAAATAATAAAGCAAAGTTTGTTCATTAGAGAATCCACATCCATCGTACCCATTTGGATTCTTTAAATGAGATCCACATAATTTTTTAATATTATTTCACACTTCTCATTTTTTTAAACAACTCATCTACAATTCTAAAATATCCATGTAACTCATCAAAAAATCTAAAATGGGTCCCACATTTAAAACAAATTAACTACATTCTTGCAATTTTATTTATTAATTTATTATCATGACCCACTTAATTGGAGTGTAGAAGCGTGCTTTAGTACGAAGACGTGCTTTAGTTCAAGAACGTGAAAACAAGTGAAATATTAATTTGTTATTGACACAATTTCTTTAATAAATGTGTAAAAACTCTCAAAGAACACCGATAATCATATTCTTACACATCTTAATAGTTTAAATGGCGCTATCAAACTCTATTCCTGTTAAACTATGAAAACAAAGAAAGTTAATAATAGATTTTTAATTCCTAGTAACCTAATGGATTTGTATCAATTATCGAAAGTTGCACTTTTGCTGCTTCTATGTTTCCTCATAATTCCCATTGACTTTCTGGCATCGCATTATACTCACATTTTGTCTGTTTATTTCAGCACTTCTAAATTCAATCTAAATCTAAACAGGTTTTCCATCTTCTTCTTTTTCTAACTTTCATTTCTCAAAAAATGGAAGAGGCTTTACTTGGAGAAGGGAGTAGGGGAGCATTGGGACAGGATAGCACATATTTCGGTATTATATATACATTAATCAGAATGAAGAAGTAAGAGCATTGATTCAACTTGTTAAGACTTTTCTGCCTTCATTACCGTCCAAGTTTCCTTTGTTTTTGCTCCTTACGGCACATTTTCAGATAAACTCGTAGGCTCTCTATTCCACCTCCACTCTTCTTTTGTCCGTGTTTCTTATATATAGTGCTGTAACAATCTCTTATGGATGATGTTGCCCTCTGTGCGAAGCTCCTAAATCTTGACTATGAGCTTAGACGGCGTTTGGTTGTTCAAGTTAAGTCCACTGCTTTGCCTGAAAGCAAGATTACTGTCATACTTTGCAATTTTCAGGTGTAGTGGAAGTTTTTATGATTGCTGATCTTTTCCATGAGTTGCTTGAGTTTCTCCAAAAGATCAAACTACAAAATTCTGTTTTTAGTTGAAACTTCAATTTGCAAAGTCTACTGATCCTCAATGCATATTATTTGTCGTCAGCAAAAGGGGTTCCATCAATAGAGTCCTGATTTTCACAACTAAAAAAAATAACACTCCTCTCACAAGTTTTCCCAATGTCTTTCCTACTAACATTCCTCTCACAATTTTTCTCCTCCAAAAGGTCGTCCAAATCTCTCCAAACTTCTTAAAAGTTGCAAGTACCTTTCAAAAAATACTTGCACCATTATGAATAAAGAGATTGATAAGACCATTAAGAGGAGAAAAATGAAACTTGAAGAACAATAAACTTAGAATGAAGATGTCATAGTAATTTGAATAATTACATTTTAGCTTATTTTGTCTTTTTAATGAGCTGTCATATTTTGTTAGATTTATTACCATGTGATTTGTAGATTCCACTAGCTAATGATTAGTTGGATTATAACCAATGGATTGTATTTAACCGTTGCAAGACTTGGAATGAAAATTATCCATCATTTGCTAAAACTTTTTCCTCCTTCTGCTTGTTTTATCTTATTATCTTCTCTGCAACTTTGTGCCAACAGTTAGTATTTTGACATTGCTAACTCTGGTATAGAGTAAGGGTATTACTGGTTTACTCCAAAACTGATATCAATTGGTATTAGTCTCGTGCTTCATGGCCTCCCCTTCAAAATCTCTTCAAGATCTCGAACAACGCTTTGAAGAATGTCTCACACAGATGCAGTTTTAACGAACCGCAGATATCAACGAGATTCGTTTCTTATTACGCTTTCACGTCGATCAAGGTTCTCTGGCATCAAACGGTCGACAAGGATCTATCAACAATCATAATAATTAGGGATAGCAATTAAATCCATTAAGACAAAATTCATCTCATCTATCCACTAAATAAAAAATAAGTTAATGTATTGGGTTAAATTCATCCATTTATATACATAGATGGATCCAATCATTCCACCACATTTCAATGATCCAATAAATTATTTTTATATTATTATTTAAATCCAATAAATCTATTTTTTTTAAATTAATAAAAACTTTTTTTTTAAAATAAAAAAAACTATGTTATTTAGAAAAATCAAAAAATGAGTTTTTTTTTTAAAAATTGAAAAATTGAGTTTTTTCTAAAAGTCGGGGTTTTTCGGAAAATCAGAAAAATCGAGTTTGTTCGAAAAAACAAGTTTTTTTTTGAAAAATCGAGTTTTTCCGATAGAAAATTGAAAAATTGAGTTTTTTCGTAAAATCGAAAAATCAAGTTTTTTCAAAATATCGAAGAAAAAAAACGAGTTTTTTTTTGGAAAATCAAAAAAACAACTTTTTTTGAGAAAATCGAATAATCGAGCTTTTTCGGAAATTCGAGTTTTTTTTGGAAAATCGAGTTTTTTAAGAAAATTCAATACATGTCATCTTAACGAGCATCAACTCCATCTTGATATGCAATGTATGCGACACAATCATGAATGTAGTAATAACAACCACGACTAATAACATCTTAACACAACATCATCGTTGGCCAGAAGCCTACATCTTAATAGCTGCCAATTATTAGAAGCATCTCGTCATCATTCATCAACATAATTCATCAACATGATTCATAAACATAATTCATCAACATAATTCATCAACATAACTCATCAACATAATTCCACAGCAACTCAGCCATAACAACAATACAACGACAAATCGACAATCCCTTAACGTTGGTCATACGCCTACAACATGATAATGTCTATAATTAATTAATCATATAAGGCTTATCTCTAATTACCAAACCTCTACATATTATTATTTTGTAATACTACATCATTATCATTATTAATCTTACTGTTATGAACAAAGCATAATCTAAGATCGTCTTATCCACATCATACTTCACAAAATCATCATAGCGATTAACGCGGGAAGCTAACTCTAACCCTAATTTGGGTACTATGATTATTCTTCTTATCCTTCATTTTAATCCTTAAGAATGAAGTTCATCACGTTAGCTATCCAACGCTTCAAACGACACCTCAAACGGAGTCCGGAAACTCAAGTTACAGCCTTTGAAAGAATCTGTCAAAAATCAGACTGCATGAGTCGACGCGTACTGGGTTGAAATCCTACATGAGTCGATGCGTAATCCCCTTATGTCGACTCATACTGAGTCTGAAACACTGCATGTATCGGTGCATGATCCTATGTATCGACTCATCCTGAGTCTTAAATCATGTATGTGTCGACGCATGGTCTTTGAGGTCGACTCATACTGACCTGTAATGGATATATTCTGCGATTTCACTGTGATATCCCTGCCTTAGGCCCTAAAAACATCCTCTAATTATAGTTAATCATCAATTATAATAATCTTATGTTTCTACATCAATTATATAGCATTAGGACATCATTATTCATCTCTAAGTCATTGATTCTCATCAAACAACAATATATATATATATATATATATTTCAATCATAAACAAAACAACTTTTCAAATCCAATCCCACATACTACTCATCATAAACCCTATTATAGAGTCAGAACCCCACCCTTATCTTGGATTGAAAGTTTCTCTACAACCTTTCCGATTGAATTCCGTTACGACTCTTTTCCTTCTTTTCTGCAACTTTCACGTTCTCTTTCAACCCTTATTTCTTTCTCTTCTTACGACTACTTCTTTTTCCTTATTAATTCTAAATAACTAATATAATAACCCTATAATTCTCATTATGTCTTAATGGACTTAAAACTCCTACACTCCCTTTCTACTACTTCTAATCCTTAAAATAAGCCCATATCAAATAATAGTATTATTCTAATATTATTCTACAACTTAACAGAATAATTAAATCCAATTAATCACAGCACAATATCTATCATCTTAACACAACTTCACCAATAATCCAAAAATAATTTAATTAAATAATTAATTAAATTACGGACGTTACAATATGTTCAAAAGTTCAATATCTATCCATGACGGCGACAATACCTCACAACTCGTTTCAGCAACTTTTATGAGAACTCACTATCATCGTTGTTGCAGGTGAAACACAATGGTAAGGTTCAATAATACATTGACCAATTTGAGTTTGCCCTCGCCCGAGTTAATTTGATTCCTGAACATTCGCTTAGTATTTTCCCTGCTGGTTTGGATTACCATACCCAGATGCATGTTTGAATGCTTAACCCCACCACCATTGCTCATGCTGCAAACTTATTAAAACTACACAAAGCTTCTCTTCCTCCACCACCAAAGACCAACCTTCATTTACCATCTTTCACAAAAAACCACGGTATCTTGAACAAACCGACCATATCACCATCCTCATCTCCTTCTACTACTCCTATAGGATTTCCAAATACCAATCAACGAGAGACTTTAATACGACCAGCTCGTACTTACTCTGCTCTTGAAATGGCTAAATGTAGAGCTAAGGGGCTTCGTATGTTCTGTGATGAACAATTTACACCAGAGCACCAACTTAAACATTAAAGATCTCAATTAATGGTACTTGAAGTCGATGATGATGATGATAACCACCTTTACGACGAGTCTGTGGAGTCAGTTCCTATAATGGATAATGAAACTGTGAAATATAAAATCGAAAGTTATACTTTATTGAACCAAAGGCAATGGCATTATATAGCCTACAGGAGGAAAAACTGAATATTAAAAGCAATCTACAATTTAAGAAACAGACTCCACTAAAGCTAGAAACTAGGAAACAAACTCCACTACATAACAGTAGATGACTTATTCAACTAAGACAAATTCAAACTCCAACATACCCTCCCTTAAGCTTAACTTTCCTGAATTAAGCTTACTTCAGACAAGTTAACAATTCCAAGTAATGCTCTCAGCTTCTCGAACTGCTCCAGCTTCAACGGCTTCGTAAAGATATCCGCAACTTGGTTTTTTGTTGCACAATACTCTAGCTTAACAGTTTCGCTATTCACCAGCTCTCTGAGATAATGAAACCTTACTTCGATATGCTTACTTTTCCCGTGAAGGACTGGATGTTTGGACAAAGCAATCGTCGAACTGTTGTCACAATAAATGACGGTTGCAGACTCTTCTTCAGCTCCAATCTTCTCTAAGATCCTTCTAATCCACACACAGTGACAAGCACAAAAGGCAGCAGTAATATATTCGGCCTCAGTGGTGGAAAGGGCGACAACGGGCTGCTTTTTCGATGCCCAAGAAATCGCACTGGACCCTATCAAAAACACACAGCCTGTTGTGCTTCTCCGATCATCCAAATCGCCGGCGTAGTCACTATCCGTGAATGCCATAAGTCTCGTACAACTTCTTTCACTTATCTTGTAGAAGATTCCAAGTTCAATTGTACCTTTTAAGTATCTTAAGATCCTCTTCGTAGCAAGCCAATGTGACATCCTTGGATTTGCCATGAATCGACTTATGAGACATACTCCATACACTAAATCCGGTCTGGTCACTGTTAGATACATAAGACTCCCAACCAATTGCTTGAACATAGTTGCATCCACCTTCTCTCCATTCTCATCTTTTGTGAGCTTCGTTCCCGACACAATTGGATTTTTAACAGCATTGCTTTCTTCCATTCCAAACCTTGCTAAAACTTCACGAGCATACCGTTTTTGACAGATAAAAATTCCATTAATACTCTGCTTCACCTCTACCCCAAGAAAATGTTTCATTTTTCCCAAATCTGACATCTCAAATTCCATCATCATCGACTTCTTAAACTCATCACACATAGCTCTGTCATTTCCAGTGAATATTAAGTCATCAACATACAAGCTGACAATGAGAATTTTACCTCCTTTCGTCTTGGTAAATAGAGTATGCTCGATCGGACACCTCTCAAACTCCTCGTCCAAGAAATATCCTTCAATACGGCTGTACCAAGCTCTTGGGGCTTGTTTGAGCCCATACAATGCCTTCCTCAGTTTGTACACTTTCTCCTCTTCTCCTTTCTTTATGAATCCCTCTGGTTGTCGCACATACACATTCTCTTTTAGTTCCCCATGTAGAAACGCACTCTTGACATCTAATTGGAATATTTCCCAATTTGATTGTGCTGCAACCGCAAGTATAGTTCGAATCGTATCGAGCCTCGCCACCAGAGCAAAGACTTCGGTATAGTCTATGCCATAACACTGAGCATATCCCTTTGCCACCAACCTCGCCTTGTATTTGTCAACTTTACCATCTTCATTCAGCTTTGTTTTATACACCCATTTCACTCCAATTGGTGTAAAACCTGTCGGTAAGATAGTTAGCTCCCATGTGTTGTTTTTCTCAATCGATTCGATCTCGTTTTTCATTGCTTCTCTCCACACCTTGTCTTTCACTGCTTCTTCGAATTTGACAGGATCATTTTCTGTCATCATCATCAATAGCATGACCGATAAGCTTTCTTCCTCATCTTCTCCTTCACCCGTGACATAATCTGCCAAATAACCCGGTGGTCTCCTTGTTCGTCGGCCTGTAACCACTTCTCTTTCAATTGATCTTGTTGGACTGGGCAGAGGAGAAACTGGGCTTGTCGGTGAGACTGGGCTTGCCGGTGTCGAATTACCAACAGATGCAAACGACGAAGATGAACTAGAAGGAGAAAAATTCGCGGTTGACGGGGGACAAGCCATGTCCGGAGGACAAGCCATGTCACCTTCTTTCACTTCTATACTATGTTCTTCTTCTCCACAGTCGAGTATTTTCTCTTTTACACCAGTTTGATTCCAATCCCAGCTTTTGTCTTCATCAAACACTACATCTTTGCTTATCACGATCATTTTCGTAACTGGATCATACAACCTTCATGCTTTTGATTCCTCACTGACTCCGAGAAAAACACATTTCTTGCTTTTGTCATCTAATTTTCTCCTCTTCTGATCAGGTATGTGCGCATATGCTATGCACCCAAAGACACAAAAATACTCCACCTCAGGTTTTGAACTGCTCCAAGCTTCTTCAGGTGTCATGTCTTCTACTGCTGCTGTTGGAGATCGATTCTGAATGTGCACACTCCATCTTGTAGCTTCAGACCAAAACTCCTTTGGGACTTGCCTCTCACTCAGCATAGACCACACCGCATTCATTATCGTTCTATTCTTCCTCTCTGCCACTCCATTCTGTTGTGGCGTAAATGCAGCCGTCAATTGTCGAGTGATACCATGAGTTTTACAAAACTCTCTAAATTCATTAGATGTGAATTCCCCTCCGCGGTCTGTCCTCAGGCAAGTGATGAAGGTTCCAATCTCCTTTTCAACACTTGCTTTGAAAGCCTTGAAGGTGATGAATGCCTCCGATTTTTCATGGAGAAAATAAACCCAATTTTTTCTAGTGAAATCATCAATGAAAGTTAAAATGTACCTCTTTCCGCTATGTGAAATTGGTGTAATCGGACCACATATATCCGAGTGCACCAGCTGCAACTGTCTCGATGCACGCCAGAGGCTCCTTTTTGACATTGATACTCTGTGTTGTTTTCTAGTCAGACATACCGCACATATCTCCTTCGTGGACTTCAGCATCGGCAGCCCAATAACCATCTTCTTTTGTGCAAGTTGTTTTAGAGCTTCTTGGTTTAAATGCCCAAAACGGCGATGCCACAAATTCGTCTCCTTCTCGATCACCTCTTCTGTCTTCAAGCACAACGTATTTTTCTGCAATTTGGATGTTAGAAGAAAGAACATCCTGTTTCCACTCATATTAGTCTCCATGATTGCACCTTTCTTGGGATGATAGACTTTGCAGGTTCCATCACGAATCAAAATTGCCAAGCCTCTCTCCTGCAATTGTCCAAGGCTTAGTAAATTGTTCTTGAGCTCCGGGACATAATAAACTTCATGTATGACTTGGGTGGCTCCGTTAACTTGTACCTTCACGCTTCCTTTTCCCACCACCGACATTCTTGTGTCGTTTCCAAGTTTCACAGATCGATTGAAACCTTCTTCCAAATCGAAAAACCAATCTTTGCATCCGGTCATATGATTGCTGCACCCGGAATCAAGGAACCAAACTTCTTCTCTGTTTGCCCGATGTTTCTCAAGATAAGACATCAAGAGCAGCTCTTCTTCTTCTTCTAGTTCAGCATAATTCGCTTTCTTTTCCCATTCAGGACACTCATTCTGATAATGCCCTAACTGGTGACATTTGTAGCACTCGACAATGGCACGATCGACTGCGTTTCTTCCTCTTCCTCTACCGCGTCCACCTCGGAACATTCCGCGACCTCTTCCTCTGCTAGGTCTTTCATCTTGAGACACTTTTAGTGCCAACTCTTCTTGCACATATCCATTCAATCGCTGCTCATGGACAAGTAGGCTGCCATGTAATTCATCGATACTCATCGTGCTCAGATCATTTGATTCCTCAATCGAACACACCACATAGTTGAATCTCGAGGTTAGTGATCTGAGAATTTTGCTCACGATCGTGCTCTGCTCCATTGATTCCCCATTCACCTTCATCTTGTTCACCACCATCAAGGTTCTTCCTAGGAAAATATCGATCTTCTCTCCTTCTTTCATGGCCAGCAATTCAAACTCCCTTCTCAAAGCTTGCAATTGCGCCCTTTTCACCTTTGTAGAGCCTTGATACTTCTTTTTCATGGATTCCCATATCGCCTTAGAGGTACCTTTGTCAAGAATAGTTTCCAGAATCTCTCTGTCAATGGACTGGAACAAGAAATTCTTGACCTTCAAATCCTTCAACTTCGCCTCTTCTACAGATTTGTTTTGCACCTCACTCGCCTGCGTTGTCATCGTCGGAATCCCATCTTCCACCAGGCTCCACAATTCTCTGCTTCTCAGAAAATTCTCCATCGTCATGGACCAGAAGTCGTAATGGCCATCAAATTTTGGGATGGCCGGCTGCACAAATTTTTCTGATCTCTCAGACATCTCTCTTGATCACTTTCTCACATAGGTTCTTGCTCTGATACCAAATGTGAAATATAAAATTGAAAGTGATACTTTATTGAACCAAAGGCAATGGCATTATATAGCCTACAGGAGGAAAAACTGAATGTTAAAAGCAAACTACAATTTAGGAAACAGACTCCACTAAAGCTAGAAACTAGGAAACAAACTCCACTACATAACAGTAGATGACTTATTCAACTAAGACAAATTCAAACTCCAACAGAAACCACTCCGGTTTTTGAAAACCCTCAATTATCTCTTCAAGCTCTAACAGGTATTGCAAATTTCGAAACCATGCGTGTGACTGGCTTACGTGATAAGACAATGATTCACATTCTTCTTGATAGTGGCAGCACCCACCATTTTTTGGACTTGGAAATTGCTAAGTCCCTAGGCTGTAAACTTGAGGCTATTTCCCCGTTAGATGTGACTGGTGGAGGAAGACCTAAATTACAAGTTGCTTTCATTTGTCGTGGGTTCAAATGGAAATTACAGCAAGCATATTTCACGACTGATGTGATTGTGTTACCACTTGTCTGTTGTGATTTGATACTAGGAATTCAGTGGTTAAAATCATTAGGGCATATACTTTGGGATTTTGACAAACTTCAAATAGAATTCACTACTCAGGGTCAAAAGTTTGTATTAAGAGATGCTAAGACTCCACCTTCAAAATCATTGACGATAAATCTTTTGCTCAAGTTGTCCACAAAGGTGCAGAACTTTGTTTTTTATCTACCACAAATGCTTCTTATTCATTAGAGGTTCCTAGTTGTCATAGCATGTCAACTAATGACCAACTACAACTAATTCCATGGCCATTGCTGACTTGATTAACAAATATCAAGATATATTTGAAGAACCTACTGTGCTTCATCCCATACGCCACAAAATCCCTCTTAAAGAAGGCTCTCAACCTTTCAACTTACGCCCGTATCGTTTCTCGGTAATACATAAAGATGTCATTGACAACATTGTCAATAACATGTTGGATCAAGGTATTGTACAACATAGCAACAGTCCCTTTGCTTCACCAACAATTTTGGTACGCAAGAAACTGATAAAAAGAGTATCAAACACATGTGGGATCAGAAACTTAATACTCCTTTTCAATAAGTATGGATCTCCAAATTGCTTGGTTTTGACTTTGAATTTTTTTATAAAGAGGGCTCTTTAAACATGGCCGCATATGCTTTATCGAGGAAGGAAGGTGCTGAACTTTTAGTATTATTTCGCAACAATGCAGACAATGATTTATGGAAATCTATCAAATCTGATTGGCAACATGATTCCCAGCTCAAGGCAATTATACACGACCTTCAACAGAATTCCCAAAGTCACCATAAATATACCTAGATTCATAATGAATTGAGGAGGAGTAGAAAGCTGGTGGTTGGAAATAACCCTGAAATTAAAGAAAATATTTTAAATTGGTTACATAATTCTTCTGTGGGAGGACACTCGGGCAAAGATGTTACAGCCAGTAGAGTAAAATCTCTTTTCTATTGGAGAGGCATGACCAAAGACATCATCAATTTTGTACGTAATTGTGGAGTTTTCCAAAAGAACAAAACTGGTATGTCTGCTTATTCCAAATCAGATTTGGACTCATATTAGTATGGATTTTGTGGAGGGACATCCTACTTCTGCAGGCAAGGAAGTTATTTTTATGGTAGTTGACAGATTAAGTAAATATGCACATTTCATGTCTCTCTCTCTCTCTCTCATCCTTTTACTGCACTTGATTTAACTCAGATCTTCATGGACAATATTTTCAAAATCCATGGCCTACCTAAATCAATCACAAGTGATAGGGATCCAATTTTCCTTAGCAAATTCTGGCATGAGTTTTTCATGCTCCAAGGAGTAGCTCTGCACAAATCTTCTACTTACCACCCTCAAACAGATTGCTATATTGAGGTGGTGAACAAGTGCTTGGAAACCTACCTGAGATACATGTGTTATGATCAACCAACTCAATGGTCTAAGTGGTTGGCACTGGCTGAATGATGGTACAATACCAACTATCATTCCTCCATTCGCACTACTCCGTATGAAATTGTCTATGGACAACCTCCATCTATTCACTTAGCCTATCTTCCTGGGACATCTTCCAATCTTAATGTGGAAAGGTCCTTATTGGCAAGAGAACAAGCTACCAAGCTCCTCAAATTTCACCTCCTTAGGGCCCAGAATAGGATGGTGCATCAGGCCAATAAGCATCGAAGTGATCGTACTTTTTCTACTGGTGACTATGTCTATCTCAATCTTCATCCATATATGTAGATTTCGATGAAATCGCATGCTGCACACAAACTACTTCTCAAGTTCTATGGACCTTTTTCAGTTGAGAATTGTTAGAAATTTAGGGTGTGATAATCCTGGATAACTTCGATGAATCGTGTTCGTACACTTTCCGAACAAAGTATTTCGACCCTATTCTTGTCTGGGTTCACGAAATCTTTGTGGGGATAATTCTCGAAGAAATTCTGTTTCCGACAAAAGAAACGAATTGTAATTATAGAGAGAAGGATGCGTTATTCTGTCTGCGAGGCCGAACGACTCCTTATATAGGAGAACAGTAATTGAAACGAAGAGACACATTTGTTCGAAACGAATACGTCCGTTGGGAAACAGTTATGTCCGTTGGGAAAAAGTTATGTCCGTTGGGAAACAGTTATGTCCGTTGGGGAACAGTTATGTCCGTTGAGGAAAGGATTCAAAATTTTTGCACGGGGCGCTGCCCCGCACCCCGCCCGCTGACCTGGCAGCGGGACCCCAGCCAGGGGCTTCCGCCCCTTGGACCCCGCG